CTTGTAGAGGCATTCCGAACGTCCTCAAGTTGAAACCTCAAGGTAAACATATATGGAACTAAATATAGTGGACCGACCAACAAAACTTCTTGTTTTGTTTTTGTTTTTCCAGGAAAAGTGCTCGCCCGTGGTGCACAGCCCATTCTTGTCGAGGTTAACGTTCCACTGGATGAACCCGTGAGTCCAAAATGGCGCTTACCCGAAGGCTGGTTCACACATTTGCGTTTGAGCGTCATCAGCTGCGTAACAACCGCTCCCAACCGCTTATGACTATAGAATACCAGAGAGCCTAGAATGAAGAGAAGGGTTCATCAGCTCAAAACCACGGAGAGCGTTTGCAACCTAACGGCGGACACCTCCCGCGCCAATTGATCGCCAGGGCGCATGCGCTGCGTTTTCGCGCGGGAGGAAGAACGCAGGCAGAAAAGAGCAAACGTTTGCAGACGATCAAAGCTTCAGGCACCCCGCTGTAGGAATCCCAAAAAACCGCTAAAAACTGCAAAATTTTAGGCGCACACTTATTACTGCTATGGTTAGTTTAAAAAAAAAAACTACAATAAATTACGTTGTTCGATGCAGATCTCTTCCATGCACGGAGCGATGTCCATCGCATGATCTTACTGTTACCAGGCGTTACCAAGTGTTACCAGGGGTGTTGCCTGTCATGCCTGCCGACATACATACATCCTCTTTCTTATTTTTAGTGCACTATTTTGTGGCAGTTCAAAACTTCAGTGAAGAAATACTCCATGCTTTGCAAGAAGCGATATGTCCCAGTAGTTGTATCTGACTCGTCTAACGTCGCTCCCACTCAAAGCTTAGAACCCTATTTCCCCCGCGTTTTCTTAATTTTTGTGCAGTTTACGTGACCCATTTCATCTGGAAGACTCAGAAACGAATTCATGCATTCCCGCACAAATCAGTTGAAGGCACGTTTCGAGGTTTTTTGCTGTAATATCTCAATGGCGTCGCGTGCGTTGCCCTCGCTAACAACAATTTTGCTGCCAGTAGGCAAAAATGACGACCCCACGGCTTTAACTTACTACAGAAACTAAGTTATGTATGATTCATACATGTAATAACTTAATTTATGATTCATAAATTAAGTTATTCATGATTCACAATTTTAAATTCGTGAACATTTAAGAACGCCAGAAAAAACAAAAACGCTAACGAAACCGCTAGAAATCTCGCCACCCGCAAAACGGCCATTTATTCTGCTAGACGACTCAGAAAACCACTATATTTAGCGGTAAAACCACTAAATTGGCAACGTTGTTCTGTAATATAGTAGGCTTTCTAGAGAATACACTGCCACGCTATCAGGTAGTCTTAGAACACTTCCGATCTAAGTATAACTACATAGACTAAACGGCTTGCAGTATTTGCGAGATCGAATCTACGTACTAACTACGAGGAAGTTAATAGTCATACAATTTTCAGAATTGTTTCAAGCCTAAGGAGAAAGAATTGTGCGCGAAAAAGTACCCAGAGAGGAAGTGCTGCAGGAGTAAACGATAGATGCTGCCACTGCACTCTATCGTTGTAAGCGGCCACAAAAGTTGGAAACGCAGTCGATCACGCTCAAACGCGAATGCGTGAACCAGCTTTGAACGTTGAGACTCCGGCATCTCGCCATCCTTTGACTCTTATAGCTGGCCTGTCATCTCCTTCCGCAGCCTCATCCTGAAAGGCTTCAAGTCTACCCTTAAAGCGGGGGACATCCCTCCGAGTCTGGAAGAAATGAACCCGGCCGTCTGCTACAAAGAAATGACGCGGCACTGGAGGTAAGTTTCTTTGTTTCGTAATGCTCACGTCCAAAAAGAAAAAGAAATACTTGTATGCATAAAAAAAAACATTTATTTCTCTTTTTTCCTTGGATAACCCAAAGGTGCTCAAAATGTATGGCATTTATGGGTCTTTTGAGACGTCATAGTGTCAGGTGACGTCATGGTTTACCTGACGTCACAGTCACGTAAAAAAGACCCGAAAGTTTCCTTTTTTGTAGCGTGAGCTACACTGGCCGAGGTTGAGCAGTTTCGCGTGGCTCGCATAATGGAGCCGTGCTCCGTGCTGCGCAAGCGCGAGGAGCAGTGACATCACACGGCGCACAGCTGGCGTGCCGGAGCCGCCGCCGCCGCGGGCTCCGCCGCCACCGCGCGCGCCTCGCCGATCTTCGCATTCCAGAGTGACGCCATAGCCACAGCAGACGCACTGGCGCCGCCGCGTGCCCAGTTGTCTGCCTTCGTTGCGCAGTAGCCAAGTCTGACGCTGCACCGGAGCTGCTTAATCGCCCTTTTCATTTTGTGCGCATAAGTTCACGCTACGTATATCCTGGCATAGCCGAGCTAAGCCACCGCAATTTTTATGACTTGTCCCCGCTTTAACTCCACGGTCAGACAGACACTGTTGTGAGCACTGTGACATCATCATCGTGTGAGAGCGGAATTGGTGAACTTTACATGAATTATCGGTTCGAGGAGAAATGCAATGAACGGAATGGCAATACGTGTTTCTGAACTATGAGTTGCTGTGGTACATCACATGGAAAAAAACACATTCGGTTAATTTTGCGCCTGTTGGATAATAATGGCAGACCAAAATTGCGTTTTAAAGCGGGAAACTCTACTTTCAGAAAAGAAATGGTTTAGTATAAATCGGGCAGCCTTGTTTTGAACTGACTCTAATTTAGGAGTCATGTCATTTTTATGTTGATGCCATATAATGCTCGCATATTCTAGTTTAGGTCGAAATATTGTTCTATAGACCGGTAATTTAGTTGCTGTGGGGGCCAGATATACGATCCGCCTTAAAAAAATAGTGATTTTAGTGAGCTGTTGATTATGCGGCTTTTGTTTTGACTATATGCTTTGGACATCATGCTAAATGCACTAAAATGAGAATTTCAACCGAACAACAACAAACATCGCAATGTTCCCCGAAAATATTTTAGATGACAGTCATTAAATATTATTAAGCAGTCATTAAACTTTTCGACGGGTGTAGGTTTCATTCCACGGCTCTATAGTTTCTTTGCTTCGAATCCTGTTGGCCACATTCACGAAATTATCATTTCTGTTTGTTTTTTTTATAAAATATTGTAATGTTCTCGAGCATTGTAATAGCCCGTGTATCACTAAACGTCAATCAATCAAAATTTTGATATTTTGTTGAAAACTTTTTATTGCACGGATTGTCCCAGCAAGTTGACCATGCGTAAGGTCGGCCTGCCTTTGTGATGCGGCGACACTGGCTTGAGAGATTTAGCCAGTGGATAGTACCACTGGTAGTCTGGTTTCTTTAACGTGCATCGGGCAGTAGTGATACACGGCCGCACGCGGCTTGTCCTCTTTATGTTTATTTTATCTGTGTTCTTTTAACAAACATTTTACCACGAGGTCCAGACACTCAGAGTGCTTTCGTCGATCGTTTCTGGTCAAGTAGGGTCCTCTCCGCATGCGATACGGTGTTCCACTTTAGGGAATGATTGTCTGTACTCGTGCACTGTTGAATCCCATTCCCTTGTCTGATGTTTGTGCGGTGCGTATGTCTATAGAACCGGAAGTTAGCCAGCCCCAGTGGGCGTCCGGTGTCTTCGCTGTAGATGAGAAATTTAGCCAGTGACCACTGTTAGCCTGGGTCCTTTAGCATGCGTCACACAGTAGTTATATACACGTTCACACGCCGGTAAAAGGCTGATCCAGATCGAAAGAGGCAGGTTGAACCAACACTACCTAGAATAGTCGAGGCTTACGAAGACCTCTTCCTCCATGTGACGTCATCACAGTCGTATGGCGTCAACTCGGCAATTTGAACCGAGCACGATACCGAGCGTCCTTCGGCACGTTAATTGGACACGAGGACCAGACGAATGCTGAAGCAGCACTCGCGTCCAATCAGCGTCTTTGCTCGATCTCACTGTGATGACGTCAGAATTCTATTGCACAAGCTTTGATTATTTTAGGTAGCTTCGGTTGAACGTAAGATTTTTCGGTTCTGCAGAGCGAGCCTCTCGTTCCTGGTGCTCCGAGTTGCAATGTGTGTTAACGCAGTCAATCACCACCCCCCCCCCCCCTTCCCCTCTTTGTCAAATGAGGAAAAATGACACAGAAATAAAAGGCTTGCTCGGTTTGTGCAGAGTCGGCGGCGGCGATGCCGTCCAAGGAGCGGGTTTGTCGTCCAGCTCCCTATTTTGGGCCCTGCTGAAGTGTTATCCGGGACCGCTGTTGCTGATCGGTTTCCTGGAGACGATATTCTGCCTCAGCGTCATCTTGCCCATCTACTTGCTGGAGTAAGAAAGGCTGCAACCGAGGGGTTCGAGTCGAAGACTCGATGACGCTTTACTGGCGGGAACCTCTGAAAGATGTTACGCGCATAGAGTATCACCACCTTGTTTCCCTGCTGTCTGGTTGGCGCCGTCATTTCGGTAGAGTGAGGGTGCAACTGGACATAGTTACCATTCGAAACTGAGATTTTCTGAGATTTAGATATGGCGTTAAAAAGCTCAGAGCATTTTTTTGTAGCTTGTTTTAACTTTGTTGTAGGATGAAAAAGCGTTTTCTGTAATTTCAGATAAAAATTTAAAAAAAACGGCAACAATTATTTTAAAGAACCACGATGAGTAAAGTGTCGTTACTAGTTTATCAGTGGCTCTAGCAGGCAAGGTACCTTGAACGCATTTCTGACTGGTGGATTCAGCATCCTTTATATACGACAACCTGGATTAGTTTTGTGTAGCCATTCTGAGTTACGCCTAATTTTGCGACTAGGAGTTTATACTTTTCTCGGTAATAAAGGCATTACAACCTTTCTATGTGTTCAGTTTTACCGTGATAAAAATGATTCCAGCAAAACCCTTATTAAATAGGGCGTGAATCTAACATAAAACGTGACAACACCATAACCATAGGGCTTTGTCCGTAAAGCAACTGGAGCAGCAACGGGAACGGGGTACGAAAGTGAGAGCGAACGATGAAAGGTGCTTCTGCTTCTGACGAGAGATGGTACTCCGCAGGGTGATGATTCAGTTTGTCGGCGGGAACGAGCCCTACTGGAAAGGCTACAGCTGCGCCCTCTTGCTGGCCGCCTCCAGCATAGCTGCGAACCTCCTCTACTCCCAGATCTACTACTTCTCGGTTCGCCTGGCGCTCAGCGTCAAAACCACGCTCATCGCCTGCCTCTACAGGAAGGTACGAACCGCTTCGCGTTTATTATGAAATTTTCATGGAACGTACGTAAAAGCTTTACGCTGCATGAGCTCGTGTCATCGCTTGGAGCACGGACTAAGCACGCGCTCACAGGCCCCGCGACCCGTAGAAACGTTACAAGATCAAAGTCAGTTGACAAGGTTCCTAGAACGCCTGGAGCCTTTACGTGGCGCGTCCGCTCTGTTAAAGCCCCTTTATGTTTCAAAAGTAGCGATGCAAGAGGCACGTGCAGCGTGCAGCCCTTGGAAGATCATGGCGGCACAGCGCAGCACTGAGCTAGATTTTAGATGCTATGTTCTTCCTAAAAGATGAGCGCGGCACGTGTCTCGACCATTTCCACAACGATGAATTGTCAGCCAATCCCTTTGCGAGGATCGGTCTGCCTGGTGATCGTTGGGGGCAGAAAATTGGTTTAGAAGAATCAGAGAAATGATACGTATGTTTTTTTAGACTTAAGCTAGGTGGCGCAAGCTTAAAATAGGGTATAAAAATTAACATTCATCCATCCATCCATCTATATGTTAGTGTCTGTTTGTGTCCGGCTAGCAGGCAGAGAAGGCAATGCCGCTAAATTCCTGCAGGATACAGCGACTTCACTTTGACCCAAAGGTTCGCCTCCCGCCTTTCGAAGCGCCTGGCGACTTCGTTGGTGGAGATGTTTCTTCTTTTTGTACAGGTGCTGACCGCTTGGAGTACTGGCGGGGACCAGATGACCGCCGGAGAAGTGATCAACAGCATCACATTGGACACAGACAAGGTGGCCCAGACGTTCGTCGTCGTCGGCGATATGTGGGGTGCACCCCTGCGTCTGCTGTTTACCATGGCGATGCTTTGGCAGTACTTAGGACCCTCCAGCCTCGTCGCCATTCTTGTGGTGGTGATTGTGCTGATCGCGTCATTCGCCCTCGCGCGCCGAGTGCAGGCGGTTCAGGTGAGGCGATGCGGTGTCCCGGCGAAATCTTTTGGTGGCGCCCTCCTGTGGTTCCCTCTCATGACGTCATTACCTTGCGAACTACAAGTTCGATGGTGTTTTTAATGCGGAGAGAAAGTCATCTGCTTCTAGCACAGGAGTTTCTGTGACGTCAGAACGACGCCGAGCTTTGACTTTGATTGAAAGGATAGTGGGTAGACCTCAATGCTAGACGCCCTGAGGTCTACACACTATTTTTTTTTTCAATCAGCCAATAGGAGCTTGTTGTTCTGACATCAAAGAAGCAGACGAACTTGTGCTTCGCGTTAGCATGGTATAAATTTGAAATCATTGCGCTTTGAAACGAAGATTGCCAACATTGTCAAAATTGAAGTGCTTACATAACACTTATTTCCGTCGGTAAGAAATCTTTTGCTGACGTTATGGTAATCATTTAGTAATTGTGGAAGGCTGACCACAGGGGCGCTTTCGATCGCGCACGTCGCCAATACCCGCAGTGTTGTTTGATCCCAGAATCTGTTCTAGGGCTGAGTTTGATGGAAAAAAAACACGAACCGTTACGCTTGATTGTTACGCTCGCCCGTTGCGCTCAACCGACACACAGGTCAAGCAGTGTAGCCCCGTAAGGGCTCTATTGCTAATATGGCCTTTACGTCATGGGGTCACGGGACACAGTGAGTCACGTGGCACCGTGACATCACGTGATTTAACGTCAAGTCCAGGTGTTACGCGGCGTCCTAACATCACGCTATATCATGACGTCACGCGACACTGGCACCATGACGCCACACACACATACACAGCATGCGCCCAGCACATTTGCACCAAATTCTGTGAGTCTTCGCGTGTTTATCAGATATATTCAAAGCATGTTTAACATTTATACACGTCACGCGTCTTTGTTGCAACAAACCCGACCTCCCATATTGTGGTAAAGAAAACAACATAAAACGAGTTTGTCTGCACATACAATAGGCTTAAGAAGCAAGAGAAAAATAAGTAAGCGCAGGGCTCGACGTTTATGTGCACAATATCGCCGTTTATTAATTGAAGAATGCAAGTCATCTAGGGAAGCTTCATTAAACAATCCTGATAGAGACTGACCGCAGCTTTAATAAAGCGTAATTTATTTATACCGCTTATATCTAGGATTCCGTGTTTTCGGAGTTTATTTCTCGTGAAAGTTTGAGGGTGTTTTTCGGAGTTTATTTTTCCCTGGGGATTCAGGGTTTATCGGAGTTTATTTTGGTAGATTCTAATCTTCAAAATGGGAGTTTATTTTACTGGGTAAAATTTAAAGATTCGAAAACAAATAAATAAGGTCCGGGTACCATGACCCGGCATTGTCCTGAAGGAACCTCAACGTGCTAAAAAGCAAACCTCTTTTTGTCAGTATTTCCGAATTTCAGGAAACTGAAGTGGAATCTCCTCATGACCACTGACCTCCTGCTCGTATAAAGTTTAGTTGTGAAACTCCGTCTTTTTTGTTGTTTATTGTGTCGCTGTGACCTCGAAATTCGGAGTTTTTTCAGATAAATCCGAATTAACGGAAAATTTACCGGCGAGTCTTTTTCGAATTTATTCGGATTTATCCCAAAACACGGAACCCTACTTATATCACTCTACTAAAGGACACCTTTTTCTGGCATTTCTACATAAGATAAGACCTCCCGAGCACAGCTGCGATCGGCGCTCAATATGCGCGAGCGCATGGGTACCTATAGTTTTTGCTTCATTGGGAAGAAAAGTTGTCCTCAAGTACAAGTAGCTGGTACGTACTAGAATAGAACTGATCATGAAGAACAACTTGTGTTGAGCTCAAGTTAAACGCGAGCTAGTCGGCGCAGCGGGGACTAAGTAGCGATGGTGACAAAGACGAAACAGCGAATGCCTCATCTTCTGGGGGTTTTAACAGTCTATCTCTATCACAATCTTCCCTTGCAGACCGATCAGATGGCGACCAAGGATCTTCGCATCAAACATGTCAATGAACTTCTCAGCGGGATTAAGGTCAGTATTCCTGTCATTTTAATGCATAATTGTATTCTTACATAAGCTAACTCAGATTTTGCAAGCGTGCAAGGCCGCGGGTTGTGGCCCATTAGAAGGCGCCAGAGTTGGCCAGATGCCAGAATCTTTGAAATACTATAACACCAACAACAACAAAGAAGGGAAGGTGTAGAAAGAAGAACGAAGCGTATCTTCGAAAATACTTTGTCAGTTTCCAAAAGCTTCGGAAAGAAAACTTACAAAACTCAATAAAGAGGAAATAAGAAGAAGGTTATACGCTTTCAAAAAAGCCAGGGGCGCGTGCAGGAAGGCTGAGACTGGACGTAAACGTGGGCTGTGTTTCTCATAGAACACAATTATGCGTACAACGATTCTATCGATAAACAAAAATGCATCTGTAAATTCTTTTATGGAAAATTTTATCGAGACAAAGTGTTTTTGTGTACGCAAGATGATAAAAAAAAAGTTATGTACTCAATGACTGGCAAGAGGACATGGATCTCCCCTTGCTTTCCACGCCAGATATTGAAGCTGAACGCCTGGGAGCGGCCGTTCGAAGAACGCGTCGTCAACTCCCGCAAGAAGGAAGTCCAGATGCTGCACAACATCGTCCACTTGTACAGCGTCATGAACTTTGTCTGGAACTGCATCTCCTTCCTCGTGCGTAAATTGTTTTATAAAACTAAACTCATATTTGCGAGAAACCAAAACGGTCGTGACATGGCGATTCTTGCGCGGTTCTAGATTTACGCGTAGGACGCCGAACTCTGACCATCATTAAACGCACTAAGTGGTTTGTTGTCTCCAAATGTGATGCCTAAATAATCGCAAGTTTTTAGAATGACAGCTAGCCAATTTTTTAATATTGCTTCAGCGATGATAGAACACGTACAGGAACACGACAAACACCATAATGGTGCGCCTTGGACGCAGTCTGATAGGTACCATCAGCTCGTAGCGTCGGCTGCTTCTGGACCTAAGGTGAAAGGAAGTACAGTGTCGCCTAAATTATGGTTCATGATGCCTTCACGCAGGTGTCGCTAGTCACCTTCATGACATACCTGATAGTCAGCAGCAAGACACTGGACCCTGTCACGGCCTTTGTGTCCCTGGCACTGTTCAACACCCTCCGATTTTCCCTGTTGCTCATTCCAGACCTGGTTGTTCAAGCCGTGGTGGTGAGCCCCGACCACATATGAAGATCAGTTGCATGTCCAGCCATTATTCAAAATCGTTCCAGAAATGTTTTTTCGCTGCTGTCATCCCTTATGATGGGGCGTTGCTTGATGCTAGCTCCCACCGCTTGGTGGAGTGACATGCTTGCGCTGTAGGAATGGGCCCAACGCACGCTGGGTTGTTACTCTTTAATGAACAGGAAACTTGTTCATTGTCACTGACAGCTTTGGAACGACAGGAAGGCTTCTAAATACACCGATTTCACTAAGCGTTCGGCGCATGCGTGACGCCGCCATAACTTTACATCACAGATGGCAGACAAGCGTGCTTGTAAGGGCCCGTGCCGTCTCGTGCTCTACACACGCAGAGCTCCAGCGAAGTTGTCGCACGTGTAGAAAGACTAAAGTTCCCTCAATGCATTGCGGCTGAGGTGGCGTAGTCAAACTGACTGGTGAGATCGGTCTATTGTCTTCAACGGAAGCTTTGTACCTTTATTGGCGATCTGGAACTTCGTGAAATCGCAAAACGTTTGTACAGTCTGAGCAATAAAAAAACAGCATGTTTTTACTGGAGAAAAGACGGAGGATGAACACTTCTGTAGGTCAAGAGCTGTCAATGGCTAAAACACTTTTAATTTTTTTTCTTGTAGTTCATGCCGCTCTCATTGTTTTTCAGCTTCACCTAACAAACATTTAACTCCCTGTGTCAGGCAAAGACTTAACTCGTATGGACGAGCTGTCGAAGGTGGGCTGCTTGTTTGCAGTGTGCAGTCGCCACCGGTCGCATGAGGAAGTTTCTGCAGAGCGAGGACCTGGACCGTAGCCAAGTTGGACGTCAACCAGATCCAGGTTAGCGAACGAGACATTCTTCGCATACTGAAAGTAGCTATACGCACCAAGCTTAGTAAAGCCAAGGTTGTGAAGTAAACCTCTCCGGACATGAACAACCTCTGTGTAATCAAAGTAGAAAAAAAAAATGCGGGCCTGTGTTTCTTCGGTGCTTCGCTGCAGGCTACGTCGAAATGCAGGCTACGTCGAAATGCGATTAGCATTGCTTGTGTTCCCTGAAGGCTATATTTTGCCGATTAAATAGCGCCGAAACCAAAAAAAAAGGTCACTAAACCCGAAATGTCCGGCCATGTTCATTCAATAAAGGTGGTCATGCTCAGCACATCGCCACTTATGTTCAGCTATCTCCTTTTCAGTCTGCTCTTTCCTCTTGCGAGGCGTCGTGAAGGCTGCAGCTTGCACATCCAGGGAGCGCCTCGTCTCGTGACAGAAACAAAATCCTTTTTGGCACAGTGAATGAGCGTCGGGTCACAGGATCTGGGGTCCTGGGTTTGGTTCTTCTTGAGGGACGTTCAGAATTTTATTTTTCTTCTCAATTTATTCCCTTATCAGTCTCCAACGCATGCACATGTTAGCATTTTCCCGGAGAGGCTGCTTAAAGGGCAACTCCCCTCAATATTTTCAAATTTGGGGTTACGACTGTTTTTAGCTCAGTCAGTGTCCTGAATTACAAGGTACAATCTTGTTTTCCGATATCGTGTGTAGTTTATAAATATCCCTGCTCAAAGTTCGGTTTCGGGCGTCAACGGCAAAACAAAAACTCTCTGCTACAGAGGCATAGCAACACTGATCATCGGCTCTACGGCCACTGGGAAGTCTTTTATTGTGTGAGGCGAGAACGGGAGTTTTGAGGACAAGGACGTATAGGACTAAATTTCTGGAGACAGTCGCATTGTTTGACGCATGACATAATGAGAGTGAGACACTAGAGCATTCGGTTCTGAAGCGCTCGGGGCTGCCCTCTCTGAGGGGGTAACGGACTTGGCCGGGTCCCTGGGGTTTGATGGCGAGGACGGAAGGACGCAAGAAATATGGATTAGAGTCACAAAAGACGATTGGAAGATGGTGAAAATTTTCGAGGGAAAATTGAATGGTGCACAATTAGCTGGCACAGCTGGGAACAGGTGGGACAGAGGAAAATTGGGACTCTCTCCCGCGTGGCTCCGGCCCAAAATCTCAACCTTGTCTACTAGTGGGCCCAGTGTTGGAGTAACGCCGATTAGGTTTGATCAGGGGAAAATTGCCGACTCCCTCGCCGGGAGAAGGAGGGGGCGGGGGGTCGGAGGTGATGCTTTAGTTTCTTTTTTGGTCTGATCCCACAAAGGTCATCCTGGCAGGGGCGTAGCCGGGGGGGGGGGGGGGGGGGGGGGTGGCTTGCGGGACTTGAGCTCCCCCCCCCCCCTCCCGAAATTCAGCCGATCCTATAATATACACATAGATTTTGACCCCCCTTCCCTCTTTCCGCACTCCAAGTCATGGACATCCCAGCCACCTCAGCCACCTCAGCTCCCTCCTCCCCCCCCCCCCCCCCCCCCCGAAAAAACTTCCTGGCTACACCACTGCATCCTGGTGACAGTAAGGGAGGAAATTGGCTTAGAATGGGCAGGGGGAATCATATGTATGTGTTTTAAAACTTAATCCGGGGTCACACTGTTTATACATCATACGAAAGACAGTCTGCAAACAGATTCGAACTCAAGTCACCAGGCGATCCGTGCTTCGAATGCCGCATGGCAACGAATTCAAAAAGAAACTTGGCACGCGGCATTCAAACCGTGGATATATCGGTGACTGATGTTTGCAGACTGTCTTTTGTATAATGTATAAGCAATGTGACCCCGACTTAAGGCTAGGTGTCGCGAGCTACCGCCCGCTACGAAGGGTACAGTCGGGTTAAATAAAATGCGAACAGGGGAGCGCGTGGCCGTCCGTACATGCTGCGCCTCCTGGAGGCCTCTTGGAACTGATAAAACTGCTGGTTGGAGAGTATGGCGCTGCGAGGCATGGTGCGTCCTACTCCATTCCTATGTGTTTGACCCTCGCCCAGCGCAACCCAAGCTTCGACGCTGCGCCGGTAATGCGCTGGAAGTTCTGTCACATCCACTCACTTTTTGTAGAACCCCTGCCAAACATCATTTAGAATAATCAAAGCCCCAGCATGGCATTTTGACATCCTCGCAGTGGAATCGAGTGTAGACAAAGATTGATCAGAAGTGCTGCGTCAGCGTTCGGCTGGGTTTCGTGACCAATCAATGCGTCGAAGGACGCTCGGCGTCGGGCTCGGGTCCAATCGCCAAGTTGGCGCCATCCTAGTGTAATGACGTCACGTAGAGGTAGTTGAGACCTTTTCAAAGGCTTAGGCTATACTAGGTTGGGTTTCCTTGTCGCGCCAAGATGTTATTTTTGTAGCATTGCAAATGAGCCTGATGACCACATCATTTTTGTCACAGTTCCTAGGCTTCTTAAAAGTATAATAGGTTCATTAGTCATAGTTATTTGCGTGCGGTTCCAGGCGACGCAGTGACGATTCGTCAGGCGACGTTCAGCTGGCACAGGGACAAACGCTTCGTGCTGAAGGACCTGGACCTGCACGTGCCTCAGGGAAAGCTGGTGGCCATCGTGGGTCACGTGGGCTCGGGAAAGACCTCGCTGCTGTCGGCCGTTCTCGGCGAACTGCGCTGCGTTCAGGGTTCCATAGATAGAAAGGCGAGTTCTTCAAAGATTCCCCACAGTCTCTGACAACAGAAACTAACCATTAGACGAGGCAGTTCTAGGCGGGCATACGCAATTCGCTTTGGCGAGGCCAAAATTGCTTGGAGTAAGGAGATAAACAAAAATGTACTTGTTCTATTCCCTCTAAAAAAAAAAAAAATTCCTCTGGCCGAAGCGTGCTCAATTCCACCGCATGTACGACCTCGGTGAATGGGTCATTAATTTTGTGCAAGACTGTACTTTTTGCGACTTACTTGTCAGTGCCCGCGTTCTGGAAGTCTACGAAATGCCAAGCTTTCTAGAATGGTAGACTAGAAGTCACATATTGTTTTTAAACACCTCGCGAGTTACTTAGAAAAAAATTCTTTTTTCTTTTCAAATCAACATGGTTTCCGTCATGGCCTTTCTACTACGACTCAGTTACTTGAAACAGTCCATGATTTCGCAAATATCCTGAATCGATCCAAACAAATTTACGTCATATTCCTAGATCTTTCTAAAGCTTTTGATAGAGTATCACATAGTAAACTTCTCCTTAAACTTAAATCAATTGTTCAAAACGAAGGTATCTTTCGCTGGCTCGAGAACTACTTACAGGACAGAAAGCAGTATGTACAGATCAACTCGAGTGAATCATCATTAGTCCCTGTTTTATCGGGTGTTCCGCAAGGGTCGGTCCTGGGGCCATTACTGTTCTCAATTTTTATAAACGATTTAACCGCTAGTATTCCAGTACGTGTTCGACTGTTTGCAGACGATGTGGTTTTATTTACAGAAGTCAATGAAATAAGTGACCAGATTCTACTAAACACCTGCTTGTCCAAGATGGCGCACTGGTGCGACTCGTGGCAGATGTCATTGAATGTCAAGAAGTGTGTTCGAATGCATATAACTCGTAAATTAAGTCATCTTTCTTTCGATTATTCCATTAATAGTACTTCACTAGCCGAAGTTACTTCTTATAAATACTTGGGTGTTATTATATCGAATGACCTACGCTGGAACACT